TTTTTAACTTTCACTAATGTTCAAGCTTCCTGTGGCACAAGAAGGAGGGAAAGAAATAAAAAAAGTTTTTTATTTTACTTTTTGAACTGATTTTCTGAACACTATCATTTCTCCTGCACTTACAGCTCTTTAAGTTAAAAGAAAAAGAAAAGCTGAGGACACTTATGTCCCTTCTTCCACACCTCTGTTTTATTCTGGAATCTCAAAGTGTAAATATCTGTTGATTCCCCCCCACCCCATCCCTCCTGCTCACTCCAACCCTTTACTTCAGCTCAGGCTCTCCGTCTTCATCAATGGCCCTCATTCATTCGCTCTCACCCTCTGCATGCCTGTGTGCCCCCACCACCAGCTCTCTGCACACCCCCCCCCCCCCCATTCATTCCTGCGATGATTTTTTCTCTCTCCTGCCTGTACCTTTCCACGGCCCTGAAAGTCCCCTCCCAGGCAGCACTTTTCTCATGTGGGTCCTATCGCTCTCTTCCATCTTTGGCTCTGTTTCATTTCAGGGGTTGGAGCATTCAGATGCAGATCTACATGTGGTTTTCTAAAGCCTGGGCAATATGCATTAGCATGTATAAATCAGAAGAAAGCCAGATTGCATTACAYGTGGGCACTTTTCTGTTAGTGTCATAGTTTTTGGTATTGTTAGATATTGATCTTTTATGCTCCCATTACAAAATGTGGCTTTTAGTGAAGTAAATTTGTTTTTCTGATAAATATGAAACTCAATCTTTATATATCGGCTGAAATAACTCACTTTGTGGCTCTAACTGCCTTTTATTAGTCTGACCATTATGCATCATCTGGGTAAATTACCTTCTAGTTGTGGGTAATTGTGTTAAATTGAGCAAATCTTGGACTTCACCTTCTGCTAAATTTAAAACGAAGGAAGTTGCTTTGAAACACACAGAAAAGAATTGCTTTTTGTTGAAAGACAAATATCAAGTAGAAAGAAATCCTGAAAAGGGAGGGAACACAGACTGCAGTCATTGCATCAAACCTGCTCAACATATTTATTTAGCAAAATATAGGCTTGTGCTTATATATATACAGCTCCATCTCTGTCACGGTTTGGTATACATCAGTTGGTATGCAGGCCTCGGCTCACCCTCTCTGTACCTCCTTCTCCCTCACTCTGCCCAGTCCTCACCCCTCATCCTCCCCTCCTGACTATTTCGAGGTATGTGGTTAGCTGGGTGTGTTCACTGCCCAGATTCAAAATCACTCACCAATTCTCTGTCAAAATATCTTTTTTTTTACCTGGCTCAACACACCTTCTGCAGCTTCAGCCCTCTGTCACACATATATGCACACTCTTTGACCCCCCCTCATCACTGCTGAGTATCACTCCCTTCCTCCTTTTCCTCCCCGGCGAGCCGCTGCTCTGATCTATTTCAGTGTGTTGTGGCTAGCAGGGTGTGTGTGCGTTTGTGGCCCTGCCCTGTAAAATACAGACTTTTCAGGGAAGTCAGCTGTATAATATGGTCGCTTTATTGTAATTATAAGCTTCTCCTTTTGGAAATAGCACAAAGAGAGAGCGAGCTGCCCACAGGCACTCGGTCCATCTYGCAGAGTTGATGCCATCTCTGGCTCTCCCGCTGCAGACGCTCCTGTCTCACTCATCCATCCTTAAAGTTTCCCTCGCTTGTGTTGACCCAGATGTTGCCACACCAGGCGGTTTTAGCTGCACACTAATCACCCTTTAATATTACAGTCTGTAGGGCATCACATATCTCTGGATGACTTGAGAATTTTGGCTTCATGTGGCCACATCTGATGCAGGTTTTCTTCAAGGAAACATCACGGTCTCTGGGTTCTTTTAAATATCGCCTTAGTTAATAATTACAAGGTATTAATAATTCAGATGTAGAGGACACCTACACATTTCACCTGCTATTGGAAGACAGGATCTTTTAGCAATCTCATCTGAAAAATACCACAGCTTTGTTTCCAGATGATGAAGTCATGCAGCTGGGGGGCATACAAGTTGTCCTTGTATTTTAGAATTTGAAATTCCATAATGTGGATGCTCAGCAGTTTGTGAATTATACTGTTGTGATGGAGAGCTATTTTATGCTGCGTTTGGAGAAGGGTGTGGATACGTTGGAGGAAACAGATTGAAACTAGATCAGTCAAGATGTCAGAGTCAGTTTTTTATTGCTGAGACAGCAAAATGTTAAGGAAATAACATAAAATAGATCAAGTGGCACTTCTTAACCAATGAGAGACAGTTAACAAGGTTTTTGCATTAATGGCAGTTAAACACAACACCATGAGGTTAGAGTTGTTCCTGATTAACCTCATTTTCACTCTGAAATCAAGTCACTGACTCTAAAGTCTCCTGGGAAACTGAAAGCTCATTCTGACACAAAAAAAGTTTGTTTTGTGGACAAAGAAAAACTTCAATCTGATTTACTGTCTCCAATTAAATAAAAAATAACATAATTTTTCCTTTCTTGTCCATGTAAAGATTGATAAATGGTAAAAGTTTCTTACTTGATATTTACCAAACACATATCAGGAGTCTTCAGAGTTAGTTTATGAAAAAAATTGAGTTTATATAAAAAAATATCAATAAAAACAACAATCCTGTCATGAAAAAGTCAGCTTGAATATTTGTGGCAAGATGAATAAAAACATGCCCACACACTTACATTCACAGTCCAGCACAAACATAAACCGCAGATGTCTCTTTGGGTGCCTCTTTTTACAGCCTGTGGTATCTTCTTTCAGAGCAAACAGAGGCCTGAAYCAAACAACCTGTCCTCAAAAAGAAACACTCGGTCCAGTGTGTCCAGAGAGCCAGAATAAAGCCCAGAGCCACAATGAGGGACCATTTCCTGGAGTGTCCGATTCAGAACAAATACTTTTACAGAGAAAATAACATCTGAATAAATAAATAATTCTCAAACATTTAGCAAAATGTTTTTATTTATATCCATTTAAAGTGAAATTTGCGCCTCCTGTTCACTTCCACAAACCATCTCATTTGTTTTATTGTTTTTCCTTTACATCTAAGAAGATAAAATTCTTACCTAATGGTTTCCTGAAGCTTCATAAATTGTGTCTGTGCTTGTTTTCCTTATGTTATGTTTCCTGGGTGCAGAGGAATGTTACTAAATGACTGCAGTGGCTTTTATATCTAAAAAAAATAAACCTTCAGCTTGTACTTATGACAGACATAACCTTACATTTAAGGGAGCATGTTGCATTTTTTTTCTAAAGATTATCTGAAATATGAATTTAACTCTGTCAAAATAAAGCAATATTTTAGACAGATTGGGTGCTTCAGTGTAGTGAACTATTATTGTTTTAAAGCTAATCTTCATAAGAAAAGAAAACAATGTTGGCACAGATTTTTAATTTTGTTGTGAGCACATTTGAAGTAGCTCACAGCTACTAATCTGTCTGGATCCAGTCTCTCAGGGTAAACAATAGTAATTTTACTTTTTTTTTTTTTGCTTTTTTACTAAGCCCCCAGAAATAATTATAATGGGGGAGTTATCTTGGAAAGTACAGATTGCAAACACATCCCTCAGAAGAAAAAAACACAAATGGGTGAAGAAATGAAAAGGTGGTAAGAAAGAGTGAGTGGTATAGAGCATCAAGGGATAATTATGGTTAATTACTGCTCTCTGGATGTGAAGTCTGCATTCGAAGAAAGTGACTAACTATGGGCTTTGAGAACATTTAAAACGCAGACGGCTGGCACTCTGAAGAACGTTAAAAATGACAGAGACGATGTTTTTAAGTGTTTACGACATGTATGGATATAAAAGCCACTTTGAAATATGAAAGGAGATTTCAACACATTTTAAAACCTGATTTTTTACAAATACAATCAATGATTTGTTGGGTTTTATTTTTGGTTTTCAAAGAATTTCCATTTGATTTACATACTATATAAATGAAACAGGACAAATTTAAACAATTTGCTTAATATGATTTAATACACAAGCTTTAAAGTAATATTAATAAATCTATGTGTAGAATTTTATTAGTATCTGAGTTTATTATCTAGTAAATGTAAGGAATGTTGGGTTTTACGTTTTATTTTATTGTAATAAGAAGGGAAAACCACCTAAATTGATTATTTTTAATGCATATGGTGCAAATACTGGCGTTTTTATATACCTTGCAAAAGTCTTTATTGTTTCACAGGGCAGCCAATTTCTTTAACTTTTGATAAAATCACAATATACAAATGCCTTCTTTACTTGTGTTTATTATGTGTTTGAAAGAAAATGTGTCCTTTTTAAATTTAAACAGAAAGTGGCTCTTTTTTGTTTTGTTTTTTCACTAACGGCTTGTTGGCTGTTTGCTGGAGCTACACTATTGTGTCAGATGCAACATAGATGTCAATTGATATTTTTTGTTCCTTTTGTTTGATATCCAGTACTTCAGTACTTCTCGTAAGTCATGTACCTTTTATTTAGTTTCTCTCTTTCAGTTTCTACACCTGAGCAGATGCTCTAACAGGTCTCAAGAAACAGTCCAATCAGATCGAAGGAACTTTCAGATTTAAAGAAAGGGGCGTGGTAAGTGGTGCGGACAGAACTCTGATTGGTTTGTACGGAACTCAATCAGTTMTTTTGCTCAACTCAGTCTCGTTTAAGTTTATCTGAACAGTTCTGCTCGATTTACCGAAGCAGCCAGAAACAGAGAAGCAGGTATAAATATAAAGAAACATGTTCTACAATTTAAATAAGTTTAATCAGAATCGAAAAGAGACGTTTATGTTTTCAGCTCTGCCTCCCTCTGACCAACATCTGACCACAAACACACACACATCTGAAAGAAAGACGTCAGTGTTGAGTGTGTCAACTGAAACGGTTGTAAATGCCTCTCATTAACATTTTCAGTTCGCACCCGTAAACTCTGATCATCTGCGTGCGCCGAACGCGCAATTACGCACACCCTCTCCTTTTCTCTACCTTTACCATTCACTCTCTCTCTCTCTCCACACACACGCGCGCTTTCATTCTCCTTGTGAAAAAGTGAAGAAGGGGAGAGGGAAGGAGAGAGAGAGTGATTCCAGGTCTCTCTCCGCTGCTCTCTCCACTTTGGGTACTCGTACCCAATCTGACTCAATGGGGTTTTAGCACTAAGGAGTTAAACGCTCAAATTAAATATATTTATTAACCCCATACCCCCTTTTTAGTGTGTAGGGTTTATATATTAACACATATTTCTGGTAACCCATCAAGGAAAGTCTCCTGGAGAGAGGTGAAGACGTCTCCAGAGGCGTGACTTTTTGTCTGCTGCCTCATAGAAGGTTCRGTCGGGCTCCCCTCCACGGCTGGCTTTCTGTGACAGGATAACACCACCCAGATCCTCCAGTTACTGCTCCACAAGGCCGGCAAAAACTACTGCAAAACTATGGATATTCGAGATTGTCCCTTCCGGAAGAAACGGAGACCTTGGCGCATGGATTTCTCTTCCTTTGTGCTGGTTTCCGTGGCGCTCGTCTTGTGCCAAACGACTTCGGCTCGTGCAGGTGAGATACTTTTATTATTACTAATAATATTAAGTAGTACTTTTTCAACAACAGTTACACACATCTGTCCGCTAAATCTTTAACTTTAGCGCTGAACTTCATCATTGTTATCAAGTCTAATCGGATTAACTGTGTGCGTAATGAATACGCGCATCATCCATTATCGGACACGGGCGCACCTGACTTGCTTCTTTACGTTTTCCTCAAAGAATGTGGTAAATAATACCCCGTAATGGTGGGCCCCACGGTATCCAAATATGTAAACCTCTTTGGTATTTTGCTGCATAGAGACCTGCTTATTTACGACTAGAAGTTTATGCTTTGTGCACTTTGGTCAAATTCCAACAACCTGCCTGGGTAACTTGAGTTTTGTGTGTATATTTTCTAGACTGAGTCTTTTGTCCTTTTGATTGCATTATCTGAGAAATCTTGTGAAATTTTGGTGTTTGAAAAGTATTAGGCTCAAATTATCACCTGAAAAATAAAAAAATGCAATTTAGCAAAGCTATTTAATACTTTGATTGTTAAAAAGGTCAGGTTAGGTTTTTYAATAAATGCTTTTTTGTTTCTGTCAACTGATTTTTTTTTAGTAAAGGCTGCTACTGWCAGGTGTCATCTCTATGAATTTAGATGCTTAGTTCAAAAGCCTTCAATATAAGCTTTTTAGTTTTTAGCATCTTAATTGTGTTTGAATATTTTATCTTGTTTGCTTTAATTTAGGATATCTCTTAATCTTATTTCATACCTTTGCCTTTCCTTCTCTGGAGAGAGAAATGGGGTACAAACACTTGCTTTTGTCATTTTAGTGAATAATAATAATCTTTTTAAACCTCGTGTTTATAATATTTGTAGTAAGTAATTTTTGTGTTACACGTGTGCATTATGAGTCATGGACACAGCGGTGAGGCTGCCTGCTGTTCACCAGTTCAGCCCGGGCACCAGTTTATCCATCATTGCCTCCAGAGGAGTAGGGTTCTCATTTAAATTTATCCTAATGAATCAATTATTATAAGTTTTGAGCATCAGTTTTCTTATTTTGGAAAGTGTTAGGGTTAATATGATTAGTTTAAGCAATAGCTGCAGAAGATTATAGACTTCCTGTGTAGTTGAAATTATTTTAGATTAATATTTTACACATTTTTATCCTCTCTCTGCACAGGCTGTAGAGTAGCTGGTCATAGAATAATCTGCATGTAGTGTAGTTCCCTGATACACCAGTAGTTGTCTCTGAACTTTTTTTACACAGAGAACCCATTTATTCACCTGAGTCCACATCAGTCACATTTTTCATCTCACACTACTTGATTTTTGTTCCACTGTAGAAGGTTTTTTAGACAATTTTGAAATATTTCAATTGAATTTCAATTATATTTCAATCAAATATTTACAATTTTATGCTTAAACTTAATTTTTAGCAGGTTTAGTTCACCACATTAGGTTTTAGGCCTTTGGCAACCTCATGAAAAATTGAAACATTAGTTAGAAGTTACAGAAATTTTGCTAAAACTTGCGTAATTAGGTTTGTTTGTATATGGTATGTTGTTTTTCTTCTAGGCTAAATATTCAGTTTTATATTGGGTGATTGCACCTTCCTGTGGKCTCCTGTGTGTATTTTGGAGGTGAAACCAAGAGAAACTTTCTCTTTTTATGAATAGATTGCTATACAGTGGAGCACCAGTGGCAGAAGTGAAAGCCAACAGTGTCTTCACGTCTATGTGTGCTTTGTACAGTTGTTTGTGTATATGTAAACTATAGATGTTTTCTCGCAGTTTAGGGTGTGGAAACGTATGTGAATGTGCCTCTGTGTGCAGTCTGCAGACTAGGTCTCTTAACTTAAGGATGCTTTAAGAGGTAGTGTGTTTAAACACCTATTTTATCTGTAACCGTGTGTCCAGTCTCTGTTCCTGCATTGATTCAGAGAAGTGGACAAATCCTTACATGGTGTGAGCGTGCACTGTGGTGCAGATTGTGACAGCACTCCACCCAGGCAGTGACAGCCCATTTTAGAGGAAAAAGTGGTCAGAATCTCACATGTTTACTCATTCTTCTCTGAGAGAATGAAGCAAAAAGAAAAAAGAGGAGGAAAAGATGAGGTGCCATTATCCAGAAAGCTGTGGGCCCAGAAGGGCATGAAAGCTAGGTTTTGTTCCAAGGAGGAGAAAATCACAGGGCAATATTTTCTTGACATGGATGTTCCTTAACCTCATTTCAAAGCAGAGGGGTTCTCAAAGGGCAGTCTGTCTCAGTCTGGCTAAACATAACACAACACAACCCTGGCATTGCTCTTAGTCTGCGTGGATGCTGGTGAATAGAACCACTATATGTGGAGGCAGAGCAGGGCTTTAGCAGCTCATTCCTGTACGTGTAAGGGAATGTGAGGTATTTTAGCCTTCTGTTGGTGACGTGACTTACACTGATATCTTTAACCTTGTACCCTTRTTTTTTTATTGATGAGTCATCATTTTTCTAGGGAACTTYGTGGCTTTMATAATCCTGCCTTCATTTTTCTAATCTACATTGACAGCCATGATTGAGGTTTAATCCTTCAGTTTGTCATAAGACTTACTGTAGCCCTGTTTWATTTAAATTATAGGTCAGGATTCTTGAAACAATGGTAGGATTTCCTTTTTCAGTAGACCAAAGATTTGCTGGTCATCTGGACCTTTAAACGTCCAAACAGGAAGTGTTTAACGATCACTATGTCTTCTTTTAAATTAAAAATGCAAGATGAAAAGACAACTAAGAAGTAAGACAACTGGAAATAAACTGTCTTGTTACAAACGTCCATAAAGTTCAACTCGAAGTTTAACAAAATTTTATTCAAAGGAGATGTGTTGGTTGTGGAACAGAACCTGGGAAAACAAAGTTCATTCAATTTGTTGCCAGTTATTGTCCGCCAGTTCATACACTGCACCAAAATGGAAAACTGAACGTGTAACTGCTTGCATGAATGTTGACTCATTTAAATTATTATGGGATTTTCTTTTCATCTTAGATTTCCTCTCTGTGTAACTTTTTCTGTTTTAAAGTTTAGGTCAAAGTAKTAAAAACACGTCTTTGCAGAGCCTCATTCACGGCTGCTGAAGGATCTTTTTCAGCTCAGTGGCTGTGACTTTGCTCGACATCTTTTACTTTTCACAATCCTTTTGTGGATCCATCCATTAAATTAAAACTGAAATGGTGGTTGTAAGAAGTAAACACACAGAAGTCAAAACTGAAATATGATTTAACACCTCCAGGCCTCAATTTTAAGCTGTGACWTTCCCTCAAAATGTAAACTTTGAAAAGCATCTTTTAGATAAAAACCACATTARCAACACAGACAGGAATCGTTTTTCRTTTTTCATTTTTTATGGGGGATGATTTAGTGGTTAGTTTGAGACGATAGTTATCCCTTCTAGACTGTCTGTTTAACTAGAAGATGTACAGAGATGGCAGGAGAGCATGCCAGCTTTATAATGACAGACTGTATAGGAGCCTATTCCTAGTCACTGTTGTTTTTTCTGCTTCTATAAGTTTTTGTAGGAGGGTGCAGAGACCAGCTGCATGTTTTAATAAGAAATCTTAATGTACATCTCTTTTCCAGATTTCAATACCAACTATTTGAAATKATTTCCTWGCTTTAAGGTGGCACAGATGCACAGTGGKYAGAGTTGTCGCCTCACAGCAGGAAGGTCCAGAGTCTCCTCCCAGCTGGGGCTTTGCTTCTACTTTCTCCTCATGCATGTGTAGGGTTTTCTCTGGGTAMTCTGGTTTTCTCCCACAGAACAAAAACATGYRCGTTGGYTTTGTTGGAAACATTAAACTGTCCCTSGATTTGGRTGAKAGTGTGAATGGTTGTGTTGTTTGTATCATTTGTCCCTGTAATGGACTAAAGACCTGTTCAGGGTGTCCCCTGCCTGTTGCACAATAACTGCTGGAGGTGGGTACCAGCTCCCAGTGATACTGAAAGAAGAGGGGAAAATAATATAAATGGATGGTTGCGTCTTCTACTGCATCTCCATCTGTGGCTGGTGTTATTCTTTAAAATCTTTAAAAGATTGTAGTGAAGTTTAAAATTAATTATTTGAAGTATTCTGATTCAGACATTTAGAGCTGGATCTAATATTCAAAAKAAGCAATTTGCCTCTCAGTTATTCTCTTACTTTTTAAAAAATACAGGTAAACTGCAGATTCCCAGCATGCACTGGGTCAAAAACCGTTTTGAATAAACATCCAGAAAAACAACACAAAGCTCAGTTCAACTGTAAAAAACTGCGTTTCTCACAACCTGAAATTCTGTGAAGATAAAATTTGTGGACTTTTTTTTTTCTTTTTTTTTCATGGTGTCTTGAGATAACTTTTACTGTTACAACTTGTATTATGATTTATCACTACATAAGTTAAATAAAGCTGAATTAGTTTGAAATTAGCAGTCTTCAAGAAATAATACAGGACCTGTAACAAACATGTCACAACTTCTCTTCCTMCTCTTTATCTCTGCACACTTGTCCCTGCAGCTAAGTTACACCTCCAGAATCCGAGACATATTTGTCATGTGGGGATTTCCAGACTAAAATGTCTGACTGTGGTTGTGGTTATCATAAAGTGCTGGCTCTTTGATCTTATAKTTGTCTGTAACAAACAGTAAGTCTGACCTGTGAGCTCTTTGATGCATTTTTAGGTGTTTGTTTTGTCAAATCAGGTGCACGTTTTCATTTCTAAGTCAGTTTCTTTAATAGGATTTTAACACTAAATTAGAAAACTTGGTTGTTATTTTTGGAGTTTGAGGATGTGTAMTAAAAGCTTTTTTCACCTGTTAGCTTTCTTGTTTTTATTTATTTATTTTTCACACATTTCAGCTCTTAGAAAAAAACACTTTTATTTCTGTAAGTTCAGTTTTTGTATTAAAAGGTCAGACTGAGCTGTCTGTGAAGAGCAGAACTAAGCTTTGTGTGTTCATCAGTCATCATCAGTCTAGTTTCTAATTTGTACTTTTTGCTAAACATCTGGTGCGAGTG